CTTTATGACAATCTCAAGAATTTAAAAACCTGTTTTTAGAAATCAAAGGATATTTAGAAAGAATGGAAAATGAATATAAACATTGCAAAGCACCTAGCAGTAGGAAGAATAAAAAAAATGTTTCTGAATGTTTGCAGGGAGGCAGTTCTACCCTGGTTAGTTATTAGCGGAGCTGGGGCGTGACAGTGTAGAGTGTACAGCAGTTGGAAAAGTGATGGTGACTTTACCCCATCATCTCCTGTGCTTTGTGTGGATAACATCCCCTGTTTCAACCTGTTCCGTTGATATCGTTGGTATGCTATTTCAAAACAGCATTATAAATTTTTTAAAAAGGAAAATAAATGATGTCTTTATTTCCTCATGAAGTAGCTGTTGACCATCCTAGTAATTTAATGCTGTTTAATTACAGCATGCTGCTTCTACAGCAAATGTACTGCTAGTTTGGAAAATCCAGGAGTGGAATTGTACTTAACTCTTGCTGAAACTCCCAGTGGACATAAAAATGCAAGGAATATATACAAGAGTGGTATGAATTGTTTTAATCTAATTGGTGGGCCTCTGAATGTTTTCCAGTGGCAGTACATTCTCATTTAGAAATGTTACTTATTCACTGCTGGACAATATACCTGCATATGGGTTTTACCTTTTGCAGCCCCTTAGGAGGGACTCAGGGTGCAGGTTGAAATGGGCTGCTGTGAGGTACCTTTAGGGCCCCAGTGGCTGTCTCGTTTTCAGGACATTTTGTGTTGAATGTCAAGTGTTCTGCCAGGCCTCAGCTACGGCCTTTTCCCCCTGTAAGGCTGCAGTCCTGCCAGTGTGGAGGTATGAGTGAGCTCCCTGCAGGCTTTCCACACAGCCGAGACTTGCTTTCTCTCCCCAACTTCATATGTTATTAGGGAAACATGGGTTATTTATTTTTTAGGTTATTTAGGTTATTTAACAGATAGTGCAGATGATTAAAAAAAAAAAAAAAACAGTTGGGTGACAAGTCAGAAAGTAAAAGCTTGCCCATGTAATGGAAGTGCATGAAATAATCTGATTTTTAGAAAAAGACTGAAACATAGTCCTAGTGAAATTCAGCTAAATAAATACTTTTCACATAGGTGAGTGTGCTTACTTGGGCATGCGAAGTGATTACCCAGAATTCATTACACAAGAATAAAATCTATTAAGTTTGTGATAGAAATGGCAGAAGGTCTTTGTTGTTGTTGTTGTTGTTTTAACTTTAAGGTTAGCAGTTTAATGCCATGCTTTATTAAGAAGATTGTGTTGATTTTTAAATTTTAATTTTTTAAAGTTAAATTTTAAATAAGAGATTTTTAAATCTCTTTGCTCTACTGGCAAAGAAACACTTGTATAGAGATGTTTAGAAAACTGAAAACAGTTATACAAAAGTATATGGACATGTACATTACATAGTTTAATATATATGTTTAATATTTATACATCCTTATTGGCTAAATGTAGAGCAGTTGTTAGTTATTTGCCTTAAGAATTAAAGTTAAATCTGATTTTTGATGTATGTTTATCAAATGCAGAAAAGTGTCTTAAAGTACGTGCAGCAGTG